TTAAAGGTAACTATTTACAATCCTTTTTCTTATAGGATTAATAATTGATTGTATAATTTTCTTAATTTTTTTTCTATTTTAAAATCTTTTTCTTGTACAGGTAGTAACTTATAAATAAAACGTTTATCATAATTTTATAATTTCGATTTTTTATGGAAAATATACATATAATTTCCTTATTTATACATATAGTTTTCTTATTATAATCTTTTTATATTTTTAAAACTATTTAAATCATGACACATGATAAAATCTTTGACTGATAACGGTTCATGAAACTATTAATTACTAACATTGAGAAACAAAAATATATCATATTAGTTATATAATAACATATGTTTCCTTTTTAATAAATTTGTTTGAATTTTTTCTTGTTTAATTGAAATATATATTTTAATTATATAAAACGAATAATTTCCTTATTATTATTATCTTTTGAAATTTTTTAAATTTTTTATAGAAATATTAATTATTTACAATTATCCTTATAATGATCTTTTACATTTTTAAAATTATTTAAATTTATAATTACTTTCAACTATCTTTTTTATTATTTTAAAAAGGAAATTTTTGTTTTACACGTGTCAAAATCTAAGATCGATAGATTTGCCACGTGTCACGATCCTATAAGTTACTAACTTTAAAAACCATACTTTATATTATAAGATGTGTGTGATTAAATTTAAGACTAGACTGTCGGTGTTTGGTAGGGTTTATGGAGAATGGTTACTTGGTCTACAATAGCATCTTTCACGTTTTATCTGAAGAAAAAGACAAAGAAAGTGACAGAAGATCTAACGTTTTGATTTGACGACATTATTTAAATATTGGAGCCAAAAATTATTTTTTCTTAGAAAGAGAAATGAAAACCATTGGGACAATGATTCTTCTCCGACCGTGTAAAATTTAAAATATGGTACAATAAAATTTAGAAGCTTCTCAGAAAAATTATTTTATTATATCGGATCATTTAAATCTATATCAAAAAACCTAAAGATTGGTAAAATTAATCATTAGATTAATAAAAAAAAACATTTATCAAAGAACTTTAATTTTTTTTTTCTAAAAACACGGTTTATTTCTTTAGTTTTCGACCATTCCGTTCAAAACAAGTCATCTTCCTACGCTTATTATATTCACCAACTTTTGAGAGATTTTGTCTAGAGAGCTTTAGAGATAAATCATAAACTCACTCGTAGAGAGAAGATGTTGAACTCCCTTACTTCTTCATATGATTTCTTAAAGCAATTTATTCAGTCTATTAGTTGTGTTTCATTGATTATGTCTGAGTAATCTGCTTATTACATTTAGGAGTTTTCAAAGGTTAAGGATGAATTGTTGATTTAGACAAAAATGTTAGGGTAATCTTATAAGTTCTTCATAAGGAGTTGATTTAATATTAGTTCTAAATTGATCACTTATAATCTAGATCTTAGGATAATTGGTTGGCATGAAAGTGTTATTGATTTCCTGAAAATAATCCTAGATGAACAAAATTCATATTCGCAAAGAAATTTGGTTTAAAGATTTTGTGAACTAATCAAACATGAGTTTAACGCGTGTCTAAAATATTGAATTTGCAAAGAGATTTAGAATTCTAAGGTCTAGGCATAGATAATCCCTGCAACGAGAGTTGATTGATTTTAATCTTTGTGTTTTGAGTTCGAGAACTTCTTAATTAAAACCTTAACTAATTATCTGGTTGCAATTATGGTTGCCGTCTTTAATATTACAATAAATTTTGTTTAGCTTAATTTGAAAACTTAAAATCTTCTGCGTGAATCTCTGAGTCCTTTTGGATTTGACCCCTAAATAATGCATGGACCTCTTAAGGAATAATTGGATTGTATACCCTAAATTTTATTGGAAATTTGAAATGTATACTATAAGTTTTAACAATTTGAGATGTATCTTATTCTTTTTTCAAAATGACATTTTTGTCCTTAATTAATAACTAAAAATTCAGAAAACGAAAATAAAATAATTTGATTAGTTAGTTTTTACAAATATTATTTAAAATTCAAAATTAAACTGTTCATATTAAAAAATTATATACTCAATTTTTTTTATTATTATTTTGCGAAAATATTAGATAATGATGAAACTAAACTAATAATTATGATATAAATTTTGACTTTTAATTATATAATAAAATTATCTAGATTTTGGGTTGATGTAGTAAATATTTTGGATAATGATTGGTTTAATATTAACTACGAATTTTAATTATATATAATTCAAAAATATTTTTTAAATTTTTCATAGTTAATATTTTTGAGATATATATATATATATATATATATATATGGACTATATTTATTTTAAATTTATTACGAATATAAATTATATATTTAAAATTTAATTCTAAAAAAATTATTAATTTTAATAGTATAACTAAAAATAATTTAAATAGCTCTAGGGATAATTTGAACTGATCATATGCATATTTATTGTTATATTGGATATATCTAGATCGAGTGATGAAGACCTTTCTTAAAACATTTTCAAATGATGTATATGAATTTACACGACAATCTGCTTAAACAAACTATTGAGCATTTACAAAAAAAAAAAAAATGTAACTGTTCATCATATATATGGTTCTATTGGCTTTCTCGAGATGGTTAAATATATTTCGCTTTATCCACTGCATAGCCGTTGAAATGTACACTTTCAAATTGAGGGTGCACTATTCAAAATCTTAAAATCTTTCTCATATATTTTTTAGTTCCTGTAACTTATGTATCTTACAAATAATTCTATTAAATTTAATTATTTCAACTATATTCTTTTAAATTCAATTATCACATATAAATTCAAATAAATACATGTAGAATTAGAACTGAAATTATTAATGTATACAAATATTACATAACATTTCTAAACAATATTTCCACAACAAGATTCCATTGAGCTCAGCTCAAAACGTTTTTCAGTTTTTCCTTTCTTTTGTTTGTAAATTAACCTATTTTTGTTGATTAAAATAATATCGCATTTCAACAAAAAAAAAAGAATATTACATTGGGAGCATTAGGCATGGGTATAAAAACATGAACCGAAGATCCGAACCGAACCGAAAAAAGAATTCTGATTCGGTTCTAGATACCACTAAATACCCGAATGGATCTCACATTATCCACTGGATATGGGTAATAACCGAACCGAACCAAATATTCATGGGTATACGAATGGAACCGAAAATGTTTGGTCAATCCTCTACAAACATACACCTAAACCCAATACATTTTGTTCCAACCTCTAATCCAATAGATTTTTGTTAAGTTTTTGATATTTTGGACTAATATATTTTGGCCCATTACAATTTTGTCAATTAGGGTTTCAGATATTTGGGTATATCGGTGTTTTTGGGTATTTTGGGTAAAATAATCAAAACCGAACCGAACCGATATCCATTGGAGCTCGGATTTCAAAGTATCTGAACCGAACCGAACCGAACCGATATCCATTGGAGTTCGGATTTCAAAGTATCTGAACCGAACCGAACCGAACTGAACCGAACCGAAACTTTTTCGGTTTTTGTATGGATCGTAAGAGACCAGAACCGAATAAAACCGAAACAAATGGAACCGAAGAACCGAATAAAACCGAACCAAATGGAACCGAAGAACCGAACACCGAAGCATTATGGAAACACTAGTTTTATTGAGTAATTTGGTATTTTATATTTCCTCCGTCCCACAAAGATGATTTTTTTAGAAAAAAACTTTGTTCCACATAGATAGAAGTTTTGTGTTTCCAATGTCAAATTTAAAACTGTTTACCTATTTTACCCTTATTAAACAATAATAAATAATATACTCTTTAAAATATGTTAAAAAATTAAAAGGTTAAAATTATCATTATATATTATTTCTTAAAGAATGTGAAATTTTAAAAAAAACTTGACATGAGAGTGTACGTTTCAACGGAGAAGAACGTGACATGTAAGGGTGTCAAAATGGGTAACCCGACCCGACCCGACCCAAACCCATATGGGTTCGAGTGTTTAATGGACGGGTTTGACCCGACCCATATATTTATATGGGTTGAATTTACATACCCAAACCCATTATTGTATAAATCCATTGGCTTAATGGGTTATATGGGTACCCATATATATGTATAATAAAATATATAAATAATAAAAATCCAAAAAAATAACATAAAATTGTAAACCAACAAAAGTTTTTAAATAATAAATTAAAAAAATCTAGATATTATACATATATTTTACTTTTTACTTTTATTTTTAGGTAAAATGTAAACTTTAATAGTTATTTTAGATAGTTTACATATATAGTTGTAAAGAAAAGAAGATATTTTACATATATTTATATAAATTTTACATAATATATTAATATAGATATATATATAAATTTTACTTTTTAGTTTTGGTTTTGAAACCCATGGGTAACCCATGACCCTAATGGGTTTTACCCATTAAACCCATAACCCTAATAGGGTAACCCACTAAAACCCATTTATATATATGGGTAAAAAAATTCTACCCAAACCCACTAAAATTATGGGCGGGTTCGGGTAACCCATGGGTATTAACCCATTTTGACACCCCTAGTGACATGATCACTTTTTATATTTTAACTATTTTCCACTACATTTCCTAATAACAAACAAATAAAAAGAAAAAGAAATGTGCTAAATGTTTTGCTTAGCCCCAAAAAGTAAAGAGACAAAACTTGAAAGAAGAGTAGTAGTAGTTAGAACGTCAGAGAGCTAGCTACTTCGAAGGAAGGTTTCATTCAACATCGAAAATGGCTGCTTTATTAATAAATAATCAGTCAAACTCTGCCTCCCAATCCAAAGTCTAAACCTTTTCCTTCTTCCTTCGTTACAAATCCAACAATCACTCATTGTCCCCAAATCCATAACTTTCTTCGATCCCCTTGTTCTTCCTTTGTCTGCAGTTACATTTTTACAAAACCCTAACCAAACCCATCTCCCAAATCAAAGAAAGACTCAATCTTTCTCTGTTGTGCTCTGTTCTGCTCTGTTTTGCTCTGTTGTGCTCTGTTTTGCTCTGTTTTGCAATGGCTTGTTTCTTGAATTGCGTTAGATTTGATGTTTCCAAGACGATCACCGACAAACCCACAAGCAAAGAATCTGGTGTGACTTGTTATAGCTGGGATGATGTGGAAACTCTTACTTCCAATTTCTCTAGATTGATTGGTTCTGGTGGCTATAGTAGTATCTACATGGCTCGCTTCTCTGGCTCTGACAAGGCGGCTGTGAAGGTTCATGTTAGTAGCCACCGTCTTTATCAGATCTTTAGACTTGAACTTGATATCTTACTCCGTCTTCAACATCCTAACATTGTCAAGCTTCTCGGTTATTTCGATGATTCAGGTACTGCTTCTGATAACTCATAGATTCTTCAATTTTGGTGTTTGATCAATTGTGTTGTTGTCTTGATTCTGCAAAGTTTGGATCTTTTTGATCAAATTCAGTAGTTATTAAGTCTCTCTTAGAATCAAAGTCTTGATCTTTATTTGTTTTATCATGTTGTTTGATATATTTGCGTATAGGCTTATGTTCTGTTTCTTTGTATTTCAGAGGAAAATGGTGCTCTTCTTCTTGAATATCTTCCTCAAGGAAATCTACAAGAGAAGCTCCAAAGCAATAGCAAGCAAGTCTTGCTATGGAGGAACCGTGTAGCGATTGCGTTACAGTTAGTTCAAGCTATTGAACACATTCACGAGAAATGTACCCCGCAGATCGTGCACGGGGACATAAAAGCTTCCAATGTACTCCTAGATAAAAACTTTAATTGTAAGCTCTGCGATTTCGGGTCAGCTAAAGTTGGATTCTCTTCGATGGTTCAGCCTCCTACGATGTCGCCTAGATCCAGACAAGTGAGGATGGTGGGATCACCGGGTTATACGGACCCTCACTACCTAAAAACCGGGATTGCTTCGAAGAAGATGGATATGTATGGGTTTGGAGTTGTGGTTCTTGAGTTGGTTTCAGGAAAAGAAGCGTTTTCCGCGGAGAGAGGCGAGATGCTGGTGCATACAGCTGCTCCACTTATGAATGAGATTTTGGATTCAAGTGTAGACATAGCAGAAGACAAAGTGAGACGGTTCTTGGACCCGAGGTTGTTAAGTAACAGTCTTGATATCGATGAGGTAAAGACAATGCTGAGTGTTGCTGCGCTTTGCATCAGTAGCAAACTATCTCTAAGACCTTCCGCTACTCATGTAGCGGAAACTCTAATAAAGGAAATCCCGTCTTTGAGTTTCCTCGGTTGTGGTAAAGGAGTGTGAGTTATGGGCGTCCACGGTTTTCGTTGTAGCGTGGTAGGATTGCGTGAACAACACTGTAAAGTTGGTGTGCATTTTGGAAAACCAGCAAGAAGGAAAAACCATGTAAATACTCTGTTTTGTTTTGTGAATAGCAAGAAGGAAATAACATTTTGTCTAATTGTCAACACTAGATTATGTACCCGCGCGTTGCGCGGGATTTTTATTTAATTTTTTTATCAATGCGAATCTTTGAGTATAAATCTAATCATTTGAATTTTGATATTTTTTACTTTATTCATGTGCATTATCTTTCCAATATAGTAAAAAAAAATTCACACTTTTCATTACAATTTCTTTCGTTATCTTCTATGATTCACTCGTTGTTTCCCGATATTTACTCTCTTTTCGCCTTATATTGACTCATATATAATATACTCGATTGTGAATTAGTTCTCAAGATATATCGTATATCATTTCTCCTTCCTATCTTTGAATACTCAATTCTTTTTTTATAAGTTGCATAATCTTTTTATTAAAGTGAACATCAGAAAACTTTATGAAATGTTTTGTCATAAGGTTTTTTTGACCATGTTTTGGTGGATGTAAAATTGTTTTGTATACAACAAATCTCATATATAAACTCATTGCTATTCACAAACATCGGATTTTAACGTCAAATTTTTCATTTATCTTGACTGTTTGAAAGATATAAAATTCTCTTTTCACATACATAATTTGACGTATATTATGATTCTAGATAGTATTCTTAGTGTTGATTTTTTCTAAAATATGTAAATTACGAAATCATAAGTTATTCTATTTTTTTTTTTGTCGTCTTAATATTGAAACAAATAAAGAGTTTGCTAGAAACAGAGTAAAACAAAAACAGGGGAACTGAAATAACAAAACAAAGTAAGAGTAAATCAACCACAATCATTGTCTACCTCGCCGTTCGTCCTCAATCCGGTTATTCTAATTTTAAAATACGTTTATTTAAAAAAAAAACAAAATCATTCTTCTTTCTAATTAAAAAACTCTTCAATATACCATTAATATTCTAATTTCCAAATAGCATTCTCAAATATTATTATTACACAATTTATTATTCGATTAGATTATTATTACACAGTTTTATTAAACTCTTCAATATACCATTACTAAAACATAGGTCTTTGTTTTATTTCAAATCACCTTAATTTTTTTCATTCTATGTTAATTTTCTAAACACTGATTACTATTTAGTTTTTCTTCTTAGGTATTCATTTTTTATATAAAACCCTCCACGTTTTAATTAAGAAAACATTTATAATATAGACAAATTTCTTAATTTAACTATTTATATTATATTATAATTATAAACAATAATATGTACTCAATCCTTCTTATTTTTTAACCGGTATAAGGAATTGATACTTTAACCTTAACAAATATATTCTCAAATTTTAATTTTTTTTTTTTAGAAATAAATTACTTTTTTTTATTAAGTAAGAACCTTTAAATTTGGTATTTATTAACTCTTATTTTCTTTATTGTACTAAATAATTGTAATTCTTAAAAGTGATTGTTGTTCCATTAAAATATATGATAAGTTTCCGTTTTCTTATCACTAACTATTTAAAAATAATTACGCATTATATGTTAAGATATAATTATCTTATTTTATATTTCTCCAATCTCAATTCAAAAGTTTCATGTTTAAATATGAGTAAGATATAATTATTCATTATCTGTTTTATATTTGTTTTTCCGTTTTTTCATATTTAATTTTTTTGTAATTTTTTTTTTAAATGGAGGGTAATAATATAAAGTATGTGAATTAATTTATTTTAATATTTTTTTCTTAATAAATAAGATATATGGATCCTACCAAAATAATAAAATGTGATGACATGGATGTTGATGTGGACACCTTAGATGGAGAGAGAACTCTCTCATTATATATATATAGATTTCCTAGGAAATGTGTTTTTGATCCGTTGTTTTATTGTTGTTTTGTCTAGAAATCTTAAAGAGAAAGAGAACTTCTCTTCATGTCAATGTAATGTAAAGTCAAGCTTAAAGTAGAAGCATGACATTGTGAATATGAAGCAAAGTTTATGTGACTTTATATAAAGGTTCTGATTCTTCAAGATACAGTAACACAGCAATCAAAGGCCTTTGTAGGAGAAATAACTAATAAGCTAAGAAACCTGAAGTTTGAAATTAAAGTCAAAGGAAGAGAAAGCCCAAGAAGAAACCCATTATGGATCTTCCTTGAGAGTGAGATATGGGCTTGTTTTTAAAGAGTTTTGTTTTCCAGTTTCATGTGATCTTTGAACATGGTGCTTTGTATAGGACACTATCTATCTTCAAGATCATAGTGTCTATGATGTTAAATCCGGAGAAATCGATATGATCCGAATCAAACCAAACTATATCTTAATATGGTTTATATGAAAATGTTTTATCTCAACTTCGAAAAAAAAGAATTTGAATATGAACCAAACCAGAAAGATAAAAGAAAAAGGATCAAAACAAATTTTTTGGTTATAATCCGAATACAAACATAATTCTAAACCTTATCAAACCATGCACATTATATTAGGTTTTACTTTGCACAATATTAGAAATGAAAAATACAAAAAGTTGAATAGTGACATTAATTTATGCACAATTGTTTGTTTGTCTGCTATTAGTCAATTCCAGTTGCGTCTCTCCCTCTTTTTGAACCTCTTAATTATTCTAGCTTTTCTGAAATTGAGATTTTTAATTTTTATGTTTTCTTTTGCTAGATTCCAAGGATATATAATCACTACCTTTATCTTATTGAACAACGGTTGAAATGATTCTTCGTTTCCCAAACTCTATTCTCGATGAATAAGTAGAGAGTAAGCTGATTATTTTGAATACTCAAATTAGTTGTATTGTTAGACTCAATAATTTGGACACATCAATTTTGACTAGATGTGTGCATATATGTCTTATGTGTGACTAATGTCTTCTCATTTGTCGATGTTTCTGTTCTCTTTGACGACTTTGTCGCGGGATTGCATTTGGAATCTTACCAAAAATCGGGTCCTACTCGTCTCAATCGACATGATGGCCTTTTTGGTAATGACACACATGCACGACAATGTACCTGATTGATTTAGCTTATAAACACCCTGTGGCTTGTCACTTGTGCGATCAACCTTGTATGTGTATATGGTGAGAAACTAGTGATTTTGTGACTATTATTTAATATTTTTATTTAGAAAAAATTTCATAAAAGTATACTACTATTTTTCGATTTCCATAAAAATACACAAATCTTTTTTCGTATTTTTTTTGTATCAAGTCAAAAACTTTGTTACTTATATACTATACAATAGTCTCATGTCTAGTTAGCGTAGAACATTTTTAGAATATTGACAAGTATCCAAAAGTAAGTTTTAGTTGTGAATGGCTCATTTCTTGACTTGTTAATAAATGGCTTAAGAATATTTAGTACATATATCACATGCACCAAATAAATTGCAAATTTTTGTGATGCTAAAATGGAGAAAATAAAATAATTCGATAGTTGATCAAAAAGTTATGATTTGATAAAATAGGAACCCCAATAGGTTGGTTCTAAGTCAAAAGACAGAGATGCATGCGAATAGGGAAAAGGAACGAAGAGTTGAATAATTGAATAGAGAATCTCATTGAATGGAGTTGGATTAAATAGTGAATAAATGTGATGTAATGTCAAGAGGGGTCTCAATTCTCTCGGCCATTTTGGATGGTTGAGAAAATACACAAAGTCATCACATCATTATGTCTCAAGTGACTTTTGTGTTTTCGACCTTTATGGTATGGGGGATTTTTTTTTTTTTTTTTCTTTTGGTATGGGAAACTTGTCTTTTGGGTTTCTATTTTATGGACCGCAACAAAATATAGTATACCACTAATTCATTGTTTATATCTGCAAAGGTTTAGTTGAGTGGAATCAATCATGAACCTCAAACAATATTTGTTTTTCTTTGTTCAAAATGTTGGATGCAGTTTTGTTATATAGTATAATATGAGTAATTCACATTTGCAAAGGTTTAAGTTAAGTGGAATCAAGCGTGAACCTCAATCAATATTTGTTCAATATGTTGGATACAATTTTTTATAACTGCATAATTTATGTAACAGTTTAAAATATGATAAAACAAAAATCGGTTTAAAATCATAAGCTAGTCCAATGGATTTATCTTGAAGTAGGAAAACCAATGTTCCAATAGTCTTATTCCGATTTTAATCATGGTTTTCTATTGTGAATATATATCTTCAATGGCAAGAATTCCACATATTTCGGAGATAACTCTAGCTTTTAGTTCGAGGTTTTCCGATTCTAACAACAAAGAAACCTAGTTAAAAACTCCCTTTTGGATCATTAGTATTCTTTTCTTTTTAGATACTTTGAATTGCAATCATAAGAATGAAGTTACCAATTTGATCAAGTGAAATATCATTACAAAAACTATATAATTCATTCTACTGTACTTTCATATTCTTCTCATTTCAACTTTTTGTTCCACTCGTGGATACCATTTGTAACATTGCATATAAATTACAAATATATCCTCAATTAGGAGTGATGTATTTTTCTAGCCAATTTTTTTTTTTTTTTGAACACCTTTTCTAGCCAATTCAAGTGATTTGTTCCACTCGTGGTGGTTACTATTTTTGTATTTTTGTAACATTGCTGCTTATTAATTACAAATAATTTATAAAGTATGAAAATCAACTAATATTGTATTTGACTATTTCTTACGTAAGCGTCATATACCAAATTAATACATTGATGACCACTAGACTATTATAATCAGTGAGGGAAAAAAAAAAGACTATCATATTAACGGTAATAGATAGCATTTGTTTTCTAAGTAACCATTCTTCGGGCACTTTCTCTTGGTACGTAGTCTCTACTCTCTACGGATTTAGCTCTTGTATTTATAACATGTAAAAGCCATTTTGGATAAAATAACAGGAAAAATAAAATAAAAATTCTTGAAAGTTTTATTTAGTCATATTCTTCTTCGTCTTTTTGGTTAGATTTTGGTCATATACTACTAATATTTCTAAAAACTAGTTCCTTTTAAGTTAGAGAACATGGTTTCAACATGCGGTTATACCTAATTCATTACAAAAATATATATCTCCAAATCATCACAAAACCTATGAAAAAAAACC